GAAAACTTCCAGAGGAAATAGATTTATTGAAAATATTGGTAATAACTGGAGTTAGAATGTCGAGTAAGGGGATAATCATGTTACGGCCAATATTGTCATTACCCACCGCTTTAGAATCAATGGCACGAATGTTCTTCTCAACATCACTATCGGAAAATTGACTAAAAGTAAACGGAGCAAAATCTGGTGTTGGCAAAGAAGAAAGATACCTTATAGTTTTCTCTTTGACATGAGCGTCAAGAGCAGACGATACAGAGAAATGACTATTTAAGCGGTTGATGTCTAAACGTTGAGCCAAATTCTGATTTCGGGGTTTCGCCAACTCCCAGAGATCTTAAGAATATCCAGACTTTAGCGGGATCACCGCTTTCCACGGATTTATGGATGTGGCGGCGCTGTGCGTCCCTGCACACTGTATTGCAGCGATTCCTGATTCGATGATACTTGTCACGGTTACTGTCTGTGGGGTTGCATTTGTACTTAGCCTTCGCGTTATTTTTTTTCGCCATTAAAGATTTTATGGCATCAGTCAGCCAGGGTGCGGGCAAATGCTTGATCTTAATAGGCCTGATAGGTGCATGAACATCATAAAGGTTAATCAAAAGATTGTTAAAGAAGTCTATTTGTTCGTCAACAGTAGCACCGTTGTTGACCGCTGACCAATCAACCGCTCCAGCATCATCACGCAGCTTGTCCAGATCCATACCACCAAAATTACGTTGCAGAAGAATTTTTGGCTTAGCCTTAGGGGGACGTATTTTATATGAAAGATATATTAGGTCGTGGTAAGAGAATGCATCGGCTGTGAATTGACCATGTTTGGCAACATGATCGGAAGAAGAAACAATAATCAGGTCAAGAAGAGAAGGAGAACAATTAGGAAAATAGTGAGTGGCATTAAGGGGGAGAATATTCATGTTACAAGCATTAACGAGTGACTTTAATGTATTGGACCGTAGATCACCTTTTAAAAGACGTGTTATAGTCCAGTCAACAAGTTCAAAAACGTGAAAAATAGAGATAAAGCTCCTAAAAATATGAGCAATAGCTCATTGGATTCGGAACGACCTCTAGAAAAATGAGTTTTGAGGATTTTACTGCACGTAAAAAATTGCAATTGTTATTAACAAAATAAGATGAAAAAAAAGAGGTATTTACGTTTTTGTTAATAACTCATAAACTATTAATTTTTACGATATTTGGAAAAAAGGTTCTTAAAGAGGAGGAAATTTCCGAAAAAAAAGTCCCAGCTACCGGAACTCTACCTCTATTATTTATAATTTTAATTTACCGCTGAAAATAGGGCTCCGCGCAGCCATTACGGCATGGGCGCACTGCCGTTAAAGACAGTTTCTTACATAAAATTATTTTTTTATAGTAACAAATATGAATTTAAAAATTTAAATAAATTATGGTGTCATCCAGATACTTGAAAGAATATATTCCCGTTGGAAAAAAATTTTTAAATTAATTTTTCAAAAAGTTATGCAATTGTTAATTAACGAATTTTTTTCCTATCTCCGTTTTCATAAATGACGACATAAAAATTTAAATAATAAACCTATAAATTTTTGGCTCTGTGGAGCTCTTCTTATATATATACTTAACAAGATCCCGCGATAAAAGTTTATTAAAGTTAATTATTTTGTTTATAACAATTTTTTAAAGTTAACAAAAAATGAAAAGTCTAAGAAATGTTATTAAAAAATTTTTTTTAAACAAATGTTATATTATTGCTGCTTTCTTATCCAACAATGGCATTAAGTAACATCGGAAAAAAATTTTTTACATCATTTGTTAAGAAATTGTTTATAAACAAATAGACAAGTTTAATATTTAAAGATTTTTTTCTTACCATTATGTTGTCTTGGCAAAATAATGATTTAAAAAAAAAAATTTCTTAAATATTTTTTTTTATTGTTTATAATCGTTTTTTTATATTTCGATTGTTTAAATAATTAGTTAAGGAATGATTTTCTCTTTAAAAATCATAATTGGCATTTCTTCATAGGTAAATAGAAAAAAAAATTTTTTTTATCAATAATTTCATTGTTTGTTAACTTAACAATTTGTTATAAACAAATTCTAACTACCGTTATATTTTTTTTCTAGAGCTAAAAAAAATAACAAAAACAGCCATATATATCAAAATACTAAAAAAAATTTTTTTCTATTTTTTATAACGCTTTTAAATATTACACGATAGCAAAGTTGCACCGGACACTTGATTTGTCAAGTAAAAAATTAATATAACTTATAAACTATTCGAGATACGATAATGGACATTCAGGTCGTTTTTATAAAGCATTAATTAATCTTCAAAATAGGCTAAAAACCAAGTTTGTAACTATTGTTTATCAGCTAATACATGCATTTGTTTATAAAATTTTGAGATTTCTTTAACTTTTTCGTATCTCTTATGACTTACAACTTAATAAATAATTAAAATACAGCTATAAACCTTAAAACAATTTTGTTTAGCGATACATTATCTCCCAAATTATCAATTAATCGTACCTCCATCTCTAATTGTTTAAACAATATACGTGATTTAATTAATATTTATTTAATATTTATTACACTTAACTTCATTTTGTATTTTTTTAATTTTCTCTACATTATTATAAGTTATTATAGCTTCTAAGTGAAACTGATTTTATCATTTATTTAAATAAATAGTTTCTTCGATGTCATTAAGTATTTTTTTTTCATATTTTTTGTAGTTTGATCTGCCGTATCTTCTAAATTTTTACATGTTAACCATATTTTTATATAGTTACAAACTTGGTTTTTAGCTTATTTTGAAGATTAATTAATGCTTTATAAAAACGACCTGAATGTCCATTATCGTATCTCGAATAGTTTATAAGTTATATTAATTTTTTACTTGACAAATCAAGTGTCCGGTGCAACTTTGGTATCGTGTAATATTTAAAAGCGTTATAAAAAATAGAAACAATTTTTTTTTAGTATTTTGATATATATGGCTGTTTTTGTTATTTTTTTAGCTCTAGAAAAAAAATATAACGGTAATTAGAATTTGTTTATAACAAATTGTTAAGTTAACAAACAATGAAATTATTGATAAAATATTTTTTTTTTCTTTTTACCTATGAAGAAATGCCAATTATGATTTTTAAAGAGAAAATCATTCCTTAACTAATTATTTAAACAATCGAAATATAAAAAAAACGATTATAAACAATAAAAAGAATTATTTAAGAAAAATTTTTTTTTAAAAATCATTATTTTGCCAAGACAACATAATGGTAAAAAAAAAATTCTTTAAATATTAAACTTGTCTATTTGTTTATAAACAATTTCTTAACAAATGATGTAAATTTTTTTTTTCCGATGTTACTTAATGCCATTGTTGGATAAGAAAGCAGCAATAATATAACATTTGTTTAAAAAAAATTTTTTAATAACATTTCTTAGACTTTTCATTTTTTGTTAACTTTAAAAAATTGTTATAAACAAAATAATTAACTTTAATAAACTTTTATCGCGGGATCTTGTTAAGTATATATATAAGAAGAGCTCCACAGAGCCAAAAATTTATAGGTTTATTATTTAAATTTTTATGTCGTCATTTACGAAAACGGAGATAGGAAAAAAATTCGTTAATTAACAATTGCATAACTTTTTGAAAAATTAATTTAAAAATTTTTTTCCAACGGGAATATATTCTTTCAAGTATCTGGATGACACCATAATTTATTTAAATTTTTAAATTCATATTTGTTACTATAAAAAAATAATTTTATGTAAGAAACTGTCTTTAACGGCAGTGCGCCCATGCCGTAATGGCTGCGCGGAGCCCTATTTTCAGCGGTAAATTAAAATTATAAATAATAGAGGTAGAGTTCCGGTAGCTGGGACTTTTTTTTCGGAAATTTCCTCCTCTTTAAGAACCTTTTTTTCCAAATATCGTAAATATTAATAGTTTATGAGTTATTAACAAAAACGTAAATACCTCTTTTTTTTCATCTTATTTTGTTAATAACAATTGCAATTTTTTACGTGCAGTAAAATCCTCAAAACTCATTTTTCTAGAGGTCGTTCCGAATCCAATGAGCTATTGCTCATATTTTTAGGAGCTTTATCTCTATTTTTCACGTTTTTGAACTTGTTGACTGGACTATTAAAGTCACCCAATATAATAGAATGGCTGTAGGACGGGGTCAAATCTTCTAATAGTTTCTCGAAAGATGAAAAGAAATTGACTCTAAGAGAAGGGCTGTAGTAAACTCCTAGCAAAATTTTAGAGTGAGAAAGAGTGACTTCCAGAAAAAGTATTTGTTTTAGACCCCAGCACCTGTTCTTATTTTTATTTGTCTCCCTTTTATTTAGACGTTATAATTATAATTTAAATTTTTGGACTAAAGATGGTAAACTGTGGAGCTTGTGGAAGTTTTTTGTCGCCGGGCAATGCTGTTGTTTGCTGTGCTTGCCCAATAAAATATCATAAGGTCTGCCTCGCCATCTATGAATATCAAAGAAAAAACTAATTAATATCAAAGAAAAAAAATACTGCATAAATAAAATGAATAAATAATTAAAATGGAATAAGTTGATAAAAAATGCTATGCAATAGCTTTACCGCGGCAGTCCCCGAGTGCCACACGTATTTTTTTTATTTATACATTTATAGATATACTTCATCATCGGCCTATTTACGTCCCCACTGCTGGGGCACAGGCCTTCCCTATGGATGGAATAGGGAGATTGGGCCATGACCCACCACGCGGGCCCAGTGCGGATTGGCGGGTGCTAACGACTGCAGATGCAGCCGGGAACAATGGCTTAGCGTGCCTTCCGAAGCACGGAGGCACTCGAGATAGATCGTTTTTGGTCACCCATCCAATGACCGACCACTGCGAAAGTTGCTTAGCTTCAACCGTCGCAGCCGAACGCGATAACCACCTGCGCCATCGAGCTCCTCTATATATATAGATATACTTGGTTGTGTTAATTTAATCAAATTTTTTCTCACCCAGGAGTTTGCCGATGAGTCTGACACTGAGTTGGACAAACGCGCCATCAAGCAACGCATCATGAGACCGGAGCAATTGGACGAAGAAATGTTCTCAGACGGTGACTCGATGTCGGAAGAGGAGAGCCTCTTCGATGTGAGTTATTATTTACTAGCGGCCGCCCGCGACTTCGTACGCGTGGAGTTAGTTAGAAATAAAAGTTCACTGCTCGTTCCCCGTAGGTGATAGCGTGATAATTGTAGCCAACGATATTAAATACCCTAGATATACCACGAGCACTCAAAATGTGTCCCAATCAAGAAGTGCTTGAACTCCACTCAAGCACTTCTTGGTTCACAGTCACGCGCGGACCGTTACAAAGTCAAGATGCCACAGCGAAAATAATACTTAGAGTACGAAAAGTGTCGTTTTTCGACAGGTATCTAGTCAATGTTCGTTAATTTAACGCATTTGAAGTAAATTTTGATGTAATACTTACTATAAACTGATTTAATATTATATATTTGTGATGCATGGTCGGTTATACGTCGTCATATAGCCGAGTCTTTTCCTCGCAGTCCGTGCCTGCTATATTTCTAACAGCGCGTTCAGAATTGCGCGTAGAGTTAATGAACTAAGGTCTAAATTCTTGCGCATATAGCAATAAGTCGTAAAATTTTACGAGCTTGCATTTCGAACTGTTAAAAGTCCCTGACGCATGCGTTTTATTTAAGACCTTATACAGTATGTAGTAAAGGTTACTTTCAATATTTAAATAATGCCTTATATTAATTTTGACTACGCGATCATCTTATGGAGCTCCGTGGATCGTTCAATGTACCTTTTGGACAGGTTTTGGGCACGATTTTGTTCGTGTTGGTGTATTTAATGTCGTTGTATGTAATATATATTTTTTTAATTTTAATATACCGAGTGTCACACTCACAACTAAGAAGAATCTAACTACATCTCTTAAACCTAAAATAATTAAACCGTTTAGGGCAAAGGGCGAACCAAAAAAAGTATAAATACAGTTGAAAAACAAAACTGTCTTTTCGGCGTAGTCGGGTAAAAAGGGCAAAGATTCGTTGCCCTCAATTCCTAAGGCCGCCCCTGCCATGAAAGTTTAAAACAACAAGGGAAGATACCGGTACTCGCGGCTCAAAAGTGATCCGCTTAAATTGTGGTGCATGACCATAATTCGCTTTAGTCACAATTGGATATTCAAACACGCTGCATGTGCACTCAATATACCAATATTGCGTATATTCTGTGTAGAGAGAGAACACAAATAGTTCAAAATCTAATAACAAATGCCTCGGCAATACTTTTTAATCGTAAAACTGTTAAACCATTTTCTTCTCAAAATCCCGGTCTGTCGTGAATGTAATTTACGTAATCGCCATTTTGTTATCAAGAAAAGGACAACAATACAGCTCAGCCGTATGGACTCGGAAGCGGTTTCGCCGTTTCGCTTGCGCTGCGTTGAAGCGTACAGTTCTGTCTCGCTCGCTCGATTGAATGTTTATATACAGACGTGTGCGTGTGTGAGAGTTGCTTATGTAGTTGAGTCGGATCATATTTTATTTGATGCTAGTATGAGCGTACCGTATCTTCCCTTTTTGTTTTATTCTAAGACTGCAATTAACTGCAGGTGTGTTCTAGGAGGAGCTCTATGGCGCAGGTGGTTAGCGCGTTCGGCTGCGATCGTTAAAGTTAATCAACTTTCGCAGTGGTCGGTCATTAGATGGGTGACCAAAAATCTTCTATCTCGAGTTCCTCCGTGCTTCGAAAGGCACGTTAAGCCGTTGGTCCCGGCTGCATCTGCAGTCGTTAGCACCCGCCAACCTGCACTGGGCCCGCGTGGTGGGTCATGGCCCAATCTCCCTATTCCATCCATAGGGAAGGCCTATGCCCCAGCAATGGGGACATTAAAAGGCTGATGATGATTGTGCGGCACGCCGGGCTGCAGCAGTAGCTGAAAGTTACCGACTCGCACTTGGGGGTGGAGTAGGGTTCCCAACCCTCCCGGATTGCCCGGGAGACTCCGGTAATAATAGTTAACCTCCCGACCTCCTGGAGAGCAATAATTTCTCCGGTTTTTCTAAAAATTAAATGCGCTGCTCCGCTGCCGGTCTAAACCTGTTCGTCTCGCCGACGCGATACTTCCTTCCGCGGCTTGCCGAGTATGTCGTACGTTAATTAGATAAATCATTCAGTAAATAATAGTAATTTGAGAAAAAAAAAGTAGAATGAGTGTTTCTTTAGTAAAAGCAGAGTTACAAGTACTTACTAACAAACGATTCGATTTTTCATGTAAAAACTTTTATGATTTTGTGGTGAAAAATCGACAATTATTAGCTGCAGTCCGACCCCCATATTAATTTCTTAAACACACAATTCTCCCGGGTTGGTCCTTTCGGGAGTTGGCAAACCTAGGGTGGAGGATGGTACACGTAGGAGCCTTAACGGCGATGGTAGTGGACTGTAGCTTGCGATGAAATAAAACTCCCAGTGTTCTGTATCGAAGACAATCGGTGGGCGCTGGTAATGGATGGCCGGCGAGGAGTCTTCAGGTCCATAGCGAACCGCTTGTTTCTTCCTGATCCTGTAGGTAGTCTAGCGCCTGTAGCTGTATGGTATGTTTGATCCTGTTCCGGCCTGTTTTTTAAATGCGCGGACAGGGCTGGCCTACTGGCTACTTTATTTCTCATTTATTTGTTGCATACAATAATATAAAGCCAAGCTCGAGCCGAGAGAGAACCCGAGCTTAAATCTATAGGCATTTGCGCGACCGAAATCATTATAATTTATCTGTGGCGCGCGAAAATAGGTCTCCGCAATATTTATTCTCGCCCCTCCATAGGGCTCCGCCCGCCACAGGCCTGTTTGATCCTACCAACGCGCTCCTCCTGCGTCGCGTGGGGAGCATGCTTAGCAAGTTTCATACAAATCGATTTATCCTATTTTTCGGCATATTTTTATATTTATTGATTTGAAACATGTTCATTCATGTAGCCGTGCATCTTATTGACCGAATACAACAAGTTCTAGTTCTAGCCCTACGAAGTTACAAATTAAAAGGTCTCTTAATACCTACTTATATCTATTTTATACCTAAATATCATATCTTATTCTATTGGGCAAGTAAAAACACACAAAATAAAACCTTTATTGTCGAACTTATAACTATAAATAACCTATCACGAATGGAATATATTGCTAACTTTCCGCCTTAATTACGCCTAAATTGCCATACTAATTTACACAGTACTTTATTATTTTTATTTCTACAACTATCTATCATCTAATAAAACACAAAGAATAACAATAAAAACACATTAAATTGATGTTTTCGAAGGCGGACAATACGAACATAATTTTTATAAAAATGGTTAGAAAGAGACAGCCTATCGTTCCCAATTATGAATTTTCAAGTAACTTCTCTTCGCCACCGCTTGGCGCCGTGGCAATCGTTATTTCGATAGTTCACAACTCAGACTGTTTAGACGTCTCACTATGTACGTAAACTTTACTCTTCATTGATTCGGGCGTCTCGTACAATGATGATGATGTGTTCTAGCTCCTACTATGGTAGCTACTTATGAAGATTAAATGATTTATGAAGTGTTTGAGAAATCTTTTGTGTCGTTTCCCAGGACCTGCCGTCGTCAGACAGCGATTTGGACGACTGGTTCACGCTGGACATCCGGGACGAACGCGCCGGTGATTATTTACCTCTCTTGGGTGAGTATAATCATTTTTGAAATGAAAACATTTTTAGTGGCGTTGTACACTTTTTTTGTATGGGTAAAAAATGTTAAATCGCGTCAGGTTAAGCACGTGGGCTGATCGCATCATGACACAATAAAATTGGAAAGGTTGTTGACTTTAAATATATTGGACGAAACATAGTAATATTTTATTTTATTGTATTATAATAATAAGTCTCTATCTAGGACGTCCATGTGGCAGCTTTATTGCGAAGAAAATGCATTTTTTTACAATAGATGTCGCTAGGCGCGCTTAAATGTGATTCATCTAAGTTCATTTTTCTGAGAGATATTTTTTTTTAATGTAATATTTATTGTCATGTTTGTGTACGATAGCGCAATAAATAAATATTTTCTACCACATACATGATAGTACTTTTATACTGATAATTAGAGCAATACGTGCAAAATTATTCCCTAACGTTACGCACAACGTTAACATTCAAGTTTTCACTTCTGCCGGCACTCCCGGAGTGCAACCAGTCGTTTTTTTTAAAGTATATTGTGCGTATTATTATGCGCACGGCTGGGGAGTGGAACTCCTTACCGAGGTCTGTTTTCCCGGTCCAATATAATCTGAACATCTTCAAGGCCAGAGTTAACAGGCATCTTCTAGGCAGGCGTGTACCATCCTAGGCCTCATCATCGCTTTCCATCAGGCGAGATTATGGTCAAATGCCTTGCCTATTAAACATTAAAATAATAACACCAATTAACCTAGCCCCAAAGTATTCACTGTAAGGATTGTGGGCTACTAGGGTAACGAATAGAATACATATACTGTACATATATAAGTATATTTATATAGAAATACATATTAAACATCCATGACTGGAGTACAAATGCTCGTATTCATCATACAAATTCGAACCCCGGACCTTAAGTTATTTTTAATGATTTATAAAATATCGATCTTTTTAAGACACGTCACTAGTTCGAGGATCGTTTAAAATAACTGTTTTTATAAAAAGTTAATACTTCATGCAAAAATTTTATGAAAATTAGCAAAGACTCCTTATATGATGTACTTCAACGCCCTTCAAATTTCAAATTTATTTGTATTTTTGTAACACTCTGTATATATATATATATATATATATATGTGTGTGTGTGTGTGTGTGTGTATATATACAAGTCGGTACAACTCTAAGTTATTTATCATTTTCTGTGCAGGTAATAGGGCATTAGAACTGCTACTAGGTGAGAAGAAACGCGTAGCCAATCGCGTGGAAACACTGAAGCAGAGCCTCGAATCTTTGTCCAACAGCGCCATAATACAAGCGAACAAAATAAGGAGTGCGAATGGCGACCTCGCCGAGATAGAAGACATGATTAAAGCTGCCTGAGATAGCGAATAAACTTGAACTACCCTCTATAATACCCTAATAATGGTGCCACCATTCATTAATTAAGAAGTACTATTTACAGTGAGCGCGCGAGTTGAATGCAGAGCTTAGGAATGCGCTAGTGATGTGACCCAATTAGAATTATCGATGTCTATAATGAGTATGAATAAATAAATAATAAATAAATAAATCTTTATTTAATATCAATATATATATATAAAACTCAAAGGGGACTGACTGACATAGTGATTAATCAACGCACAGCCCAAACCACTGGACGGATCGGGCTGAAATTTGGCATGCAGGTAGATGTTATGACGTAGGCATCCGCTACGAAAGGATTTTGATCAATTCTACCCCCAAGTGGATAAAATAGGGAATGAAAGTTTGTATGAAACTTTGTCAATTTAAACCGATCGCGCTGAGACTTTGCATGCAGGTATAAGATGAATCATAGATGAATGTCATTGTGTATAATACAAGCCTGAGAACAAAAACTGTAGTCTACACTTCAGCTCTACACCGAAGCGAAGCGAGGTCGGGCCACTAGTTATCTATACAGTATTCTATCTTCATACAAACGGTCGGAAAGCGTGTCATACCTACGCCACTCGAGTTCGCGCGGCACCCGGTGGGCATCCAGTCGCGAATGCGCCGCAGCGACGACCGAACGGTGTCAATAGTTTTTTAAGCAGTTAGCCGTGCTTAAACGTGCGATTTCGATTGTGAATATTAGATTGAATTAATTAGATAACTTCAAAATTTAATATGGCAAAGAGCAATAGTCGATATGGTGCTGTTTTTGGTTGCTTGAACTCTTCAATAAATAAATATGCTTATAAAATAAATAAAATTATAACTATAATTGCTATTTCTTCTTTCAAATGTTTAATACTTGAAAAAGTATTCATTTGACATTGTGGGTTACCTACAATGCGAAGAGATGGCGCTGCCTTGCAGCTTAAGGCTAGGAAAATATCGACGCGGCTAATAGGGCCGTGGTAGCATAATGGTCAGTGCATTCGCCCGGATAGCGAAGGATGCGGTTTGAGTCCCGTCCGCTGCCTGGTCCGCGTGGATTTTTTTTCTAGTAAACTTTTCTTTAGATTTAAACATCTAGCAGTTAAATGCTTATAAAATAAATAAAATATAACAATAATTAAACTTTTTGTACGAATGCGTATTTATTATACTATTAAATTTAATAATAAAGCTTTTCGTACGTCTCAGTCGCGGCGTAAATATTTTTCTGTCTCTAATCTATATTTTTTTTTATTAAATATTATAATTAAAATAACATGTATTTTATGTAGCACTTCCTAATTCATTCACAATTTTTTTTTACATATGAAATAAAATATCTACACTACAATCACAAAAGTAGAAAGAAACTCAATTATGTACATGAAATTAAAATACTGTAGCCCTACTGCGTGGATACGCCCCGCTCGGCCGTAGTCAGTTATTTCAAGGACAGGGCCGAGTCACAATACTGTATAGATAATATTACCGTGCCTCAGGCCCCCACTTCATTCAACTCGCGCGCTCTCTGTAGTAAGTTTTTCACCTCCATTCCTATTATAAGAAAATAAAAAACGGTTGTCTGTAAAGTCGGTTTACTGACGATAGTTGAACGTGACAACGTTTTTTACAATATACATAGTTTTCACAACTATGAATGTGCTTTGAGCAATTGTTTTACAAATTTAAACATGTGTGATAACATTACATTTATCGCCACAATTATTGTTGCTATAAACAATTGGCACCACATTCACTTGTCACTGCACTTCATACTTACGAAAACATGTCAATAAATGTATTATTGTATAGCAGCTGTCCACGCGGACGCATCGCTCACTCAGGTAGGAGAGAGACAGATGTCGAACGCTGCTGAACGCGGAGGCCGATTGTGCCTCTTTGTCGCTCGTTGCGTGCTCTCGCTTGCACTTCAAGCCTTAAATGGAACGCCTAAGAGCGAGGTAACGCCGCATGAGTCATGTTTTTTCGTGCGTACAGCCGGCTCTATCGAATTATAAGACGTTGTCAGGTCAATAAGGATACGCCGACATCTGTTTAATGTTTATCTGACATTTTCACTATGTTCATGTTTCGTAACTATATTTTTAAATTTAACTGCTAGATGTTTAAATTTTCTTTAGATTTCAACATCTAACAGCTAAATGCTTAAAAAATATAACTATAGTTGGTATTACTTCCTTAATATTTTTTACACTTGTAAAGGTAGAAAAAATATAACTAGAAAAAGTTCCACGCGGACCAGGCAGCAGACGGGACTCGAATCCGCACCCTTCGCAATCCGGGCGAATTTACTGACCAATTATGCTACCGCGGGCCTGATGGCCGCGTCGAAATTCTCCTAGCCATTCTTAAGCTGCAAGGCAGCGCCATCTATTCGCACTGTAGGTAACCCACAATGTCAAATGAATACTTTTACAAGTATTAAACATTTGAAAGTAAATCTATAATTTTCAAGTTATATTTTCTTTAGATTTAAACATCAAGCAGTTACATGCTTAAAAATATAAAATTATAACTTGTAAAGGTGTTCATGTGACATTGTGGATTACCTATAATGCGAAGAGATGGCGCTGCCTTGCAATCTAAGAAGTACTAAAGAAAATGCAACACGGAAAATTAGGGGCCCGGTAGCATACTGGTCAGTGCATCCGCCCGGTTAGCGGAGGGTGCGGGTTCGAGTCCCGTCTGCTGCCTGGCCCGCGTGGAATTTTTTCTAGTTATATTTTCCTAAGATTTAAACATCAAGCAGTTACATGCTTAAAATATTTAAATTATAAGTATACTATTTCAGATTACAGCTTATGTGTTCCCAATACGACGATAAATTGAGGACACCCTATAGCTATACAACACCAGTGCTTGCGACTTGGTCTGCGTGGAAAAATTAATTTCCCGTAAAAAAATCTACCTATCCCACCCCTTTTCACTCTCTTGAAGGATGATTTCTGGGATGAAAACTTATGTCCTTTCCTGGCACTCAAATTATTTCTATACCAAATTTCATCTTATTTGATTCAGCGGTTTAAAAGTGAAAAAGTAGCAGACAGGAAGACAGACACAATAGGCATGATGACGGGATACAGTAAATGAAATTCTATTTAGTCCGTCAGTTAAATGATCAAAAAATAATGGATACGTAATTTTTTCTTTGGGCAATCAACCAAAAAATGACAAAGTTAAAGCGCGTCAAAGTTTGGGAGTAGGGGCTCGTGACGTCACTTTTAAGTGAAAATTGTACCAAAACGTGACGTCATGCGACTTTTCAAATCAATATATCTCGGCAATGTTTATATTATGTGCAGACCCGTCTTTCCCAGTGGGCACTTTGGGCTAGTGCCCAGGGCCCCGCGATCGATAGGGGGCCCCCTCAGATCAAATACAAAGTCCCTAGTTCCTGTTAAATCACCAAACGGAAGTCATAGGGCCCCATTATCCTAATATGCCCAGGGCCTCCAATAGGTCAAAGACGTCACTGATTATGTGATAAAAATAAAAAAAATACGTGTCCAATACTTTTCGATAATACCTGATAAAGGAAGAAAAAAAATTAGTCATCATTCCGATTTCGCATTTATAGTATTAGTAAGGATAATATTAATAGCAGAGTATAGTACCTTGTATAATATCTTGTTTACACCAAGGTAATGAGATTATTAATCTGTACAGGGTTTTTTTTTTATAGTGAGGTAGGCAAATGACTGCCCCACCTGATGTTAAGTGGTGATAAAGTCCAAACGCGAAGATAGCTGGTACAGGAAATAGGAGTTATAAACTGCTACACCAACCATCCTAACCTCTTCAGCCCCAGCCCCCGGGGACGTATGGAATAGCGTCACCCCGGGACTGGGTCTGACAAAACAGTTAAAAAAACACATATAATAAACAAACCAAATAACCCAGACCACCTTATTAAAGCGAAGAAAATAGAATAATTAAAAAAAAAAAACCATCCTAACCTTGCCGGCCTGCAAAAATGCTTCTTCACGCCTCTCTTAAAGGACCCCAGATTATAGGAAGGAGGGAACACGTGCACGGGTAAAGAATTCCACTTACGAATAGTAATATTAATTATGAATAGTAATTTTACATTTCGGTCGATTAGCTGGTGCATTTTGTTATGAAACAGCCGATTTTTTTTTCGCGATTTCAGAGTTGGTCCCGTAATACAAGTTGTTCCTGTTGATGGGTAGAATCACCCCCTAAGAGGTTGTTGGTGTTTTAAAATTTACCTTGTATAGAGGATGCTGTCGCATTTAGGGCCTGCGCTGTGTTAAGCGACGGGAGACCCGCTGCATGAAGCGCTGCTTTGTGAAATAAATATGAAAGTGCACGCGTAATTCAAAGTCGGTCATTGGATTGGTGACCAAAAATTTACTATCTCGAGCTCCTCCGTGCTTCGGAAGGCACGTTAAGCCGTCGGTTCCGGCTGCATCTGCAGTCGTTAGCACCCACCAATCCGCACTGGGCCCGCGTGGAGGGTCATGGCCCAATCTCCCTATTCCATCCATAGGGAAGGCCTGTGCCCCAGCAGTGGGGACATTAATTGGCTGATGATGATGATGATGACGCGTAAAGGACGTCCGCTCCGTGTTCCCGCTTTACGCAGCGCACGCCCTACTAAAAAATGTAAAATTATTTTAATTTTTTGAAACTTTTGAATTTACACACTGTACGGGACGCCGGGCTGTCGCAGTAGCGGACAGTTACCGACTCGTACTGAGGGGGTGGAGGAAGTTACACGCAGGAGTCTTGACTGTAGTGGACTGTAGTTTCGGCGAATAAAACCCCTGGTGTTCGGTATTGAAGAAATCGGTGGGCGCTGATAATGGATGGCCGGTGAGAGGAGGCTTCAGGTCCAGAGTGAACCGCTTGGTTGTTTCTTCCTGTTCCTTAGGGTAGGAGCGCCTGTCGCTGAATGCATGTCGGGGCATGTTCCGACTCGAATTTTATATGCTAGGACTGAGCTGGCCAGCGATCCATTACCTCACCCACGCTATACTTTATTTTTCATTTTCTCAAGATTTACAATAGTGCGAGCTTAAAACTAATTGTACATACATCGGGCATACATTTGGGCATATTTTTAACATAGTTATGTGTCCGTAAACACGATATTTTAGGTGTGGCGCGCAAAAAATAGGTCTCCGCAATATTTATACTTTCCCCCTCCATAGGGCTTCGCCCTGCCACGGGGCTTCGCTGCCCCACCCGCGCGCTCCGGGCGCGCCGGGTGGGGAGCGCGACATGTCTCAGAAAACGGTTCTATACAAACATGTTTTTTCTCCTACACAGTACATTTTTACACTTATTGATGCGATACCTATTTATTTACGTAGCCCTACGTGTTACCTATCTAATACAACAAGTTTCTTACAAGAATATTAATAAACAACAGCTCTACGGCCCTTTAAAGTTTGCAAATTAAAAAGTCTTAAAAAACCTACTTATACTCGCTTAATGTCTAACTATCATACACCATTTTAAAGAAGAAGTAAAAACACATAAAATGACATCATTGTTATAACAATTATACCTATATCCTATTGACTATTCATAAAAAACTATTCCCGATATTTTCCTTAATTACGCTTAAACTACTAACACGATTCATACAAAACTTCGATATATTATTCCTATAACTACCTACTATCTAATAAGACATAAAATAAATCAATCCAAACATAAAACATACTATTATCGAAAATTGTCAACTCAGGCAAAATCCTATAAGACGTGTGACAAGGACAACCTATTGTCTCCGTCCCTCCTATAGGTCGGAACTATCAGTATTCTGACTAGTTTCCCCGCGCCACCGCTTGGCGTCGTGGCGATCGTTTAGATAAAGTCTTATAAGATTATTGGAGAGAACGGGGCGGAATATCGCTCTGAACTATCAATTTTACAATGGTTTACTATGGGCAGAGCTATCTATTGTTGCGATATCCGACTCATTCTAATAAGACAACAAGGGAATGATATTTTTAATGCGTATACAACTAATTCATGTGAAATTATAGATACATTTTTATACATTGTTCTCGTATCGTCGTAAGTTCATTTTCTCTCGCTTCGGTCGTCGCGTACATACTCCCGCCGTGCAGCGTCGGTTGACTCGTCGCTGCATCCATCTTCCGTGGGAGTGGCGGCCGATGCGAATATCACCAGTCGCTTGGTCGGTCTGCGTAGCACTCCTCCGGCTGTCTTCAGATCGACGACTCGTACTGTGCCGTCTCGCCCGGGAAAAGTGGCGATGACGACTCCCTTGGGCCACGTGTTGCGTGGCAGGTTGCTGTCGGCGATGAGCACGATGTCCCCGATGGCGATGGTCTTCCCGGTCCCGTGGGGCTCCCGCCGGTGTTGCAGCACGGGTAGGTACTCTCGTACCCAGCGCGCCCAGAAGTGGTCGGCGAGGCGCTGTGCTGCTCTCCAGTGCGGGCGGCCTATCAGGTCGCTCTCGTCGAACTCGCCCGGCAGTGGGACGCGCGCTGAACCTCCCAGCAGAAAGTGGTTGGGAGTGATGGCTTCGTCGTCTTCATGGTGCACGGACACGTGGGTGAGAGGCCGGCTGTTCACGGTGTATTCGGCCTCGGCGAGTAGCGTCGTAAGTACCTCTTCGGGCGGACTTCTTTCTTGCAAAACCGCACTTAGCGCGATTTTGACGGACTTCACGAGGCGTTCCCACGCCCCGCCCATGAATGGTGCTCCCGGCGGTATGTACCTCCACCGGATACTGCGGATGCTTGCTTCTTCGCTCGTCGCCTGCTGCACTGCCTTCTTCATTTCGTTTTCTGCGCCGTGGAAGTTGGTCCCGTTGTCCGACCAAATTTCGGTAGGGCACCCGCGGCGCGCTATCATGCGCCGTAGTGCGTGTATGGCGGAGTCCGTCGATAGTGAGGCGGCCAACTCGAGGTGCACGGCTCTCGTAGTAAGACATGTGAAGAGCGCGACGTAGCGTTTTTCTTGACGCCTGCCCACGGTGACTGTCAACGGCCCGAAATAATCCAATCCGGTGTACGTGAATGGCCGTCGGTGATGAGCGAGGCGCGTCGGCGGCAAATCTCCGGTAGGTGGCGACGGTGGCGCCGCCCTCCTTATGCGGCAGTTTATGCAACTGCTTATTATTCGTTTCGTGACGGGTCGAATGCGTAAAATCCAATAGTGTTGTCTGCACTCGTTGACTGTAGTTTCCACCCCGGCGTGGAGAAGGCTTCTATGTGTGTGTTCTATCCACAGTTGGGTGGCTCGATGGTTCCCGTCGAGTATCGCCGGTGTCTTCTGAGTTTCTGTTACTCCCGCCGCTGCGTTGACCCGGCTTCGTAGGTACAACACGCCGTCGTTGACTATTAGCGAAAGTGGGCGGAGTCGACTGTTCGTAGCGATGGTGGCGCCCCCTCGCAGTTGTTTCAACTCGTCTTGAAATGCGTCGTGTTGTATTACGCGAACTATTATTTTCTCTGCGCGTTCGATGTATCTTCGGTCGATTGCGATGAATTTTCTTTCTTGAACGGTTGGCGTCGTTTTCTTCTTATGTGTCGGCGCCGATTTTTGATTTTTCTTCCAGTCGGGTTCCTTTTCGTTTTTCTTTCTTCTGTAGTTAATTCGGTCGGTTTTCGCTTGGCAGAGGTCGATGAACTGTAGTACTCTTGCCGTAGTCCGAATTAACTTGTCCCAGCGCGAAAATCGAGTGACGTCCGGTGCAGCTTCGGATATTGACGGCGCTTTCTTCGTGCTTATGTGGTGCACGCGTTCTTCTCCGGTGACTTCGGTTGCGGTTGCAGTTTCGGCGGGCCATTCTTCTTGTTTGTTTCGTAGAAACGGAGGCCCGGTGAACCATCTGTGGTAGCCGTAGAAGTCGTGCGGTGATATTCTTGTGGCGTCGTCTGCTGTGTTGAGCTTCGTGGGCACCCATCGCCACTCGTTGATAGTGCTGAGTTCTTCTATGGCGGCTATGCGATGCGCGACGAATGGCTTGAATGAGCGCGATCCCGTTCGCACCCAAGACAATACTGTTTTGCTGTCTGTCCAAAATGTCTTCGATTCTGGTTTTCTTGAGTGCTCTTCTATCACGGTGGCGGCCATTCTTGCTCCCAGGACTGCGGCTTGTAGCTCGAGGCGCGGTATTGACGTGACTTTGAGTGGAGCCACGCGTGCTTTCGCCGTGATGAGTGTCACGTCGACTTGACCTCCCGGCGACTCGGCCCGCCAGTAGAGTGCGGCGGCGTACGTGGTGGCGCTGGCGTCCACGAAGACGTGCAGCTGAAGTGAAGTGGCTTCGCTGTATCCTATGTAGGCTCGTGGTACTTTGACGCCTCGTAGGTCCTTCATGTGTTGTAGCCAGGTCGTCCACTGCTCTGCGAGGTCGGTGTCGATTTTCTTGTCCCATTCTGTGCCGCGTCGCCAAATTTCTTGTATGATCTGCTTTCCCCTGACTGTGACTGGTGATGCAAGTCCCATTGGATCGTAGATTGACATCACAATCTTCAAAACTTCTCTCTTCGTGGGTGCCTTATTTGCAAGTAGGTCCGATGGGATGCGCGCCAACTCGAGATTGAACCCCAATTCGTCCGATTGCGGGTTCCACATGAGTCCGAGTACTTTTTCTATTCTTGATCCGTCGTTGAGTGTTATTGGTTGTTGAACGCGTAGCGGTCCCTCGGTGAGTGCTTGCCTTATTCGATGCGAGTTCGACACCCAGTTGCGTAAGTCGAAATTTCCGTCGGCGTGTATTTTTCTTACTTGCGTCGACACTTCTATGGCTTCTTGTTCCGTTGTAAAGCTGTCTAGGTAGTCATCCATGTAGTGCGCTTGTACTATGGCGTTGACGGCGGTCGGTTGCGTTTCTTGATATCGCTCGGCGTTCTTGTTCTTGACGAAAATAGCGGCGGCTGGTGAACACGTAGCGCCGAAGATGAGTGACTTCATTCTGTATTCTTCCGGTGGTCCCTCTCTTCTTTCGCCGCGCCATAGGTACCGCAGTGCATCTCTGTCTTCCGGTCGGATCCCCACGCGCATGAACATTTCGGCGATGTCGGCTGTCACGGCGTACTGGTGTTGACGGAATCGCATCATGACTCCTATCAACGATCGAAGTAGGTCCGGCCCGGTGAGAAGGCAGTCGTTGAGTGAGGTGCCTCCGGTCTTCGCAGCTGCGTCGTGTACGATGCGTAACTTGTTTGGCTTCAACGGGTTGATGACTGGAAAATGCGGCAGGTACCAAGTTCTGTCTTCTGTTGATGTCGGCGGTGCTCGCTCGGCGTATCCCTTTTCGATGAGCGCGTCCATTTGTTCTATGTATTTTCCCCTTAGGCGTGGATCGCGGTCGATTTTCTTCTCTGTGGTGAGCAGCCGTCTGTACGCATTTTCATAATTGTTGGGCATCTTGATGTCTTCTTTCTTCCAGAGTAGCGCGGTTTCAAATTTTCCATCTTCTTTTCTGTGGGTGTGTTCTTCTAGCATCTTGATGGCTTTCTCCTCTGGATCGGAATGCGGTTTTTTCTTTTCGATGTCGATCGATTCCAATGCGAAGTGATGACGAAGTAGTTCATCCATTTTCGAATCTTCTGTTTCTTCGGTGAGGTGGTTCACGAAATGAACCCGGTGACCGATGGTGCGCGAGTCTGTGCCGTGGAGTACCCATCCCAGAGCCGTCTTCGATGCCACTAGCTGTC